CATGAAACAGAAACTCCCACCCGACCGTATCGTATGCCTTTTCCGCATCAAGCCCAATGAGAACTGTTCCAGTTTTCCCTTTAAGTATCTGGTCAATAATATGAATGGCCCTTCTGATATTATCGTGTGTTTGTCTGTTACCAATGACGCCTGTTTGATCCTCCAGCGTGGGCATCAATGTACTCAACCTCCTAGCCAAAATCAGGGCAAATAGTTTATAGTCTATATTTAACACGATAATAGGTCTATAACCTCTGGGATCAGTTTTATCCTTCCCTGCTTTTGGTATGACAGAGATATACGCCTCCCGCCACGATGGTGGGAGCGCCCCCCCACTCAGAGTGTAATTAAAAGAGGCCTTTAGTAGTGGGATTAAGGGTTCCCTCATCTGCCTATACCACTCTGGTGGGAATCCATCACATCCTGGGCTTTAAAAGTCTTGAGTTTTGAGAGCCCAATGTTAAGCTCTTCTGCTGATATTTCTCTGACGAGTTTTTCATTCTGCTGCTTACCTATAAATGGCAGATCTAAGCTGGATAAGAAATTCTGAATCTTACATGTGATGTCTTGATGAATCGAACAGATATTTGAAGTTTACACAGAAACTTTCTCGCATGAAAATATCTTAAAAGTTTATTTTGTGACCCAGAAAGAGTAATATTTCAAACTCCGCCCCTCTGTGTTCCTCCACCACTGCCTCCGTTGAGTTTTGGACGAAATGGATTCTGGGATATTGCATTTCGTCATTTCGAGCTGATTGGAGACCAAAACAGCCAATCAGATTTTTTTGCATCCAAGTCTGTGATTGGCTGGTTTTGTGGCACAGATGTAACGGTGTAGAGAAAGAGTTGAGCGCGCACGGGCAGAAATGTTGAGAGCACGAGCAACACATTGCGAGTGAGCGCAAATGCAAAAACTGAGCGAGTGTGTTGCGTGTGTGTGTGTGTGTGGATAATAGCAAACACTGAAATACAGTTTTTGCACGCAGCAATGAATTTTGTTCACTCAAATTCAGCTTTTCTTCACTCAAAATAAATTTCTCCTCAAAATGAAACACTTGCACCTGCAAACTTTTTTTACGTGCGCTCAGAATAGTGGCACAAAAATGACGCCATATTTCTGGGGCTAGCTTTAAACCCAATCCTCACAGTAGTCCCGAATGATCAGATAAATCTCTGTCCTATTAAACAATCCTTCACTCTGTGGAGGTCTTTACTAAAAGTAAAACAATAATCAATCCTCGAGTACATATCACGTCTCGCTGAATAAAATGTAATGCGTTCATTTTTGTGTAAATATCTCCATATATATCTATAAGCCCCAACTCAGCATTGTTTATACTTGTTTCTCTAATTTAGTTCCCCTCCGGTCTCGGCTAGTTGTATCCCATTTTGGATGGAGAATTGAAATCTCCTGCACATATACATGTGCCAACACTTTCTGCGGCAATAAGTCTGAATATCTCCTTAAAGAACCCTGTACTACTACCAGGGGGTGCATATATATTACACAGCGTGACGTCTTCCTGTTCCATTTTCCCTTTCACCAACACAAACCTTCCCTCTTTATGTTCTCCAGTAAACTCAAAAGCTTGTTTGGTATCAGAATGGCCACTCCTCTTTTTTTCCCAGTTCTATGTGAGGCATAATGGGGCGACCGTGGCTCAGGGGGTTGGGAAGCATCTGTAACCGGAAGGTCGCCGGTTCGATCCCTGGGCTCTCTGTCCTGGTCGTTGTGTCCTTGGGCAAGACACTTTACCCTACCGCCTACTGGTGTTGGCCAGAGGGGCCGATGGCGCGATATGGCAGCCTGGCTTCTGTCAGTCTGCCCCAGGGCAGCTGTGGCTACAACCGTAGCTGCCTCCACCAGTGTGTGAATGTGAGAGTGATGAATAGTGGCATTGTAAAGCGCTTTGGGTGCCTTGAAAAGCGCTATATCAATCCAATCCATTATTATTATAAATATTTTTGATCCCCGTTCTCTTCCACTCCTCATGTTCTTCGTTTGATATTTGATATTTTGATTTTTAAACTTTGAAACTATCTTATGACTAAGGTAGACTCATGTGGACTAAAGTGGTCTCAGGCAGATTAAAAGGTCTAGGTGAGCCATGTACCTGTTGTACTGCATGAAGACCAGGTTCCAGATCTCCACCACCTCTGGGCTGTCAGCGTTGACGAGCGCCGTCGCCTCTCGCCCACCGACGTGGTCGTAGTGGATCTCGGTGCAGGGACCACAGGGCCCCGTGTCCCCCATCTCCCAAAAGTTGTCCTTGAGTCCGAATGGCAGCAGACGGTGGGTGGGGACCCTGAAGGGACAGCAAGGGTCAGCTGACCTGTAGCAGTGCGGCCCCAGCTGCAGACAGATGTGCACCTACCCGATCTCCAGCCAGATGTTCCGTGTATCCTCATCCGCTGGCAACCCTGCTGCTGCATCACCGCCAAAATAAGAGACATACAGCCTGTCAGCAGGTATCCCGTAATGCTCTGTGAGGAGGCTCCATGCCATCTGACACGCTTCCTCCTGAGTGCACACAGAGCAGAGTGAGCCTCTTTTAAACAGGAAGTAAACTCCCACCTTAAAGAAAACAGGAAGTGGACCCACCTTGAAATAGTCTCCAAACGACCAGTTTCCCAGCATCTCAAAGAAGGTGTGGTGGTAGCCGTCCCGGCCCACGTCATCCAGGTCGTTGTGTTTGCCGCCGGCTCGGACGCATTTTTGGCTGTTGACCACGCGGCGGTACGACGCCATGTCGCTACGAGGGTCCGCTGTGCCCAGGAAGATGGGCTTGAACTGTGAGCGCCACACAAAGATGGAGAGAAGGCTCTGATTGGTTAAATCACAAGGTTTTTTTTTTAAAAAAAAGTGCTTCTCACACGCGCGCGCACACACACAATAAAACATCATACACACAGAAGGACATATACGCAGACCACTTCCTCCCCCGCCATCTGTGTTTACCTGCACAGGTGTGACAACTGTTGTTAATCTGGACTAAAATATTCAATAAAACGAAACATCAATAAAGTCTAATCGATCCGCAGTCAGCCTCTGACAGGCTCTTATTTTGAAATATCCCGGTACCCCCGGACCGGGTCGGGTCTGTACTGACCTGGTTCATGCCGGCGTTGACGAACAGCAGGCTCGGGTCTCCTCTGGGCCGGACCGGGGAGGACGGGACCGGCAGGTGTCCGTGTTTGTCCCGGAAAAACTCCACGAAGGCGCTCCGGACCCGGGCGGCGGGCAGCGGCGGCGGTGAGCCGCTGAAGGAGCGCTCTGAGGCGGCGGAGAGGAAGTCCGGCGTCCCGCTGAGCGGCCGGAGCCTCTGCAGGAGCAGCCTCATCATCCAGATCACAGCGAGCCGAGCCGAACCGGTACCGCAAGGACTGCAAGCTGCAAAGACACGCATGCGCACAGCCAGCCGTTTCTTCTTCTCGTGAGGGTGTAAAACCGTCAGAGCTGCGCCGCCACCTGCTGGTGTCACGGTGGAACCGCAGCGTGACGTCATACACAGCTGAGCGCAGGTTCTCCTGCAGAACATCAGCTGATCACGGAACCAGAGAGAAAGGTGACGTCACGGGTCCCCGTCGGAGAGAGTAACTCCGAGAGTAACTAAGAACTTGTACTGCAGATTGAGAGTACAGCTGTCTTTAAAGTCACGCAGCAGCGCGTTTCTGCTGTTTCATTGTTTACGCCTCTTGTCCTCGGCCTGGAAGCTGCTGTCCCCGCGTGAATCTCACTGACACGTCGCTCCGTGTTATAAACACAAGTAAAATATCAGCAACCAGTCACATAATAACACAAACATGACGTTAAACAAAAAGCAGCGCTGGTATTTCCGAGCCCGGGCCGGTCCGCGAAGGCCTCAGGAGCACCGCGAGGCTCCGCGTGCCCATCAGACCTGATTAATCCCACCTGAGCTCGCGGGCTCGCGGTTCAGTCCGTGTGCAGGTGACGGAGCGGCGGCGCGATGCAGAAAGGCCTGAAGAAGTACTTCGTGAACATGGACGAGTACCTGTGCAGCCTCGGCCTGTACCGGAAGATGGTGGCACGCGATGCGTCCAGCCTGTTCCGGGCCGTGTCCGAGCAGGTGAGCTGGGTGGCGGGAGGGAGGCGTACCGAGTACAGTTACGGTGTGAGGGAACTTTGTTTAAACTCTGGGTCAAACTGGGCGAGGTCAAAGGTCACAGACGTCAGTGCACACAGTTTCATTCCGCCGCACAAAGCAGGTCTGCGGACAGTGTGGACCGAACCAGAACCAGGAGGCAGCGAGCTCATGAGGAGGGACAGCAACACTAACATGTGTCAGTGACCTGTGGACTCCTCAGAGGTTTCACCTGTCCTCAGGTGTCTGTGTGAAGCTCCTCCCATCAGCTTTGCTTGTTACTCTGAGTAATCCATTACCTGTGACTCTTACCTCATTGGGAGTGTAGTGGATTACTTTTCTCCTGCAGGAAGAGATTGTCACTCTTGTGTTTTGTTAGAGGTGCAACTTCCTGTTTCCTTCCCGCTGAGGCGTTTGGCAGGTTCCCCAGGAGCGACACACCTGAGCTCACCTGAGCTTTGCTGCTCAGCAGTCTGAGGTTGTCCCTAACTCGTCCCCCTGACTGTTAGTGACGGCTGTTTGTCATCTCGGAGTGGTTTCTGGGTGTGTGCGTCAGCGTGATGGCGACCCGCGAGGCTAACCTCAGAAAAACTGTTCTCGTGTGTGTGTGTGTGTGTGTGTGTGTGTGTGTAGTTGTATTTCTCTCAGAATTACCATCAGAAGATCCGTCAGGACTGCGCTAACTTCATGAGAGCCAATAGATGCAACTTTGAGCCGGTGAGTTCAGAGTATTCTGAGTATGAGAGAAATACTCAGTTACTTCATTGTGCTGTGTTTTCTGTCCTCTGCAGTTTGTTGAAGGCTCGTTTGAGAAATACCTGGAACGTCTGGAGGATCCAAAGGTGAATATCTCTGACCTTTGACCTTCAGTCAGCTGTTCACCTGCAGGCAGTGTGTTAACCTGTGTGTGTTTTCAGGAGACGGTGGGTCAGGTGGAGATCAAGGCTCTGTCTCAGCTGTACAGGTGAGTGATGCAGGTATGCTGTGTTTTCTTCGATGACCTCAAAGCAGTCACGGCGTGTTTCGAAACCAGCTGACCTGAGGGGTGTGGCTACCAAACCAGAATTTTCCTTTTGTTTCTAGTTTTGTTTTATACCATCCTAAATCACAATACAATTTTATTTATATAACGCCAAATCACAACAAGCAAGCACTTTAGCGAAAGTGGGAAGGAAAAACTCCCTTTTAAAAGGAAGAAACCTCCGGCAGAACC